ACCCCACAAAGTATAACCCCTGTAGGAAGAATAGTCTGCGATACAGAACAGTAAGTACCAACACAAGGATCAGGAATTCTTTGCTAATTATACAGGAGGAAGCTCACTGATTTCTAATCTAATAAAAATCAGTAGGAAACCTAGAAGGATGATACATTTTTCCATAGATAATACATATTCATGGTTTGGAGATTTCAGGTTACAAAATGGATATTTATATAGCTGATAGAAGCACTTGCTGCTAGCACACTGTGAAAACACCTGCCTTTAAAGAAATCACTCCCTTTGTTTCTTCWGGCTTTTGTGATGTGTAGTCTTTTGTATCACTTCAATCTCAGTAGGGATCCCGAGAGCCCAAAGSACATTTGAAGGCTTGGACATGTCCGCAGTACCCAAAGGACTGGCAGCCTTTACTCCTGGGTTTTATTGTCATCACTGAGTATCACTGCCATAACTGATTCCTTTTAGCCTTGAGTGACTCATTTTAGTGAACACAAGAAAGCTGCATGTATTCAACCACGTGAGTAATTTCAGGTCCTTGAGCATCCACGCTTCTCACAACTGTAAACTTCTACTAAATATATTTCCTTGTTTCACAGGTATATCATGCAACTGAAAGGTTCCAATAATTGTTAAAACCTGAAGTTTCAGGTGAAAGACTCCACACAAATGTAACTTATTATTAAAGGTAGAAATGAATCCTTCCTCCTCCCTTCTTTTGCCCTTRCTCTTACTGAATTTCTGCTGTTCTTCCAAGGCAGCAAAAGATTAATTGGAAAGAATGAATTCGTGGTTGACCTGCACTATTGATGAGACAGAGTCATTTAGAGATAAAGCCCAGTAATATGAAAGATATAAAAAATAAGAAAAGACAGGCACCCATCATACAAGAAAATTGCAGTTCTGAGAGGCAAAGACGAGGCAGGTGTAAGGCAGCTGCAGATCAGAAATCTGTGCCATAGCTACACAAGCTTTGTACTCTTGTGGCCAATGGAGACAAACCTGCATTGTGAGAAAACTGCCCATCCCATCCCAGAGAGAGCAACTCCAGACATACTCATCTAGCCTGGGTGAGATCTTGATGCTCAGACAAATAAAGTTGCAGCAGCACCTCTTTCTCTGTTGGTTGCAAAGGGAGACTGGACAAATAACTGAGATGGAAGTACAGAAATCTGTACTGAACAGTGAACTTAATTTCCTTGTAGTAGTCATTGTAATGGTGCTGGATTATTTGTTCTGCTGTTCTAGCACCCCAAAGATAGCCTGAGAAACGGTAATTGGTGCTAGATCTTCTTGACCATACTCACAACTATCCTCCGTCATTGTACAAAGAAAACCTTCCTTTGCTGTTTAGAGACATAAGAACTACTGACCTAACAGGAGTTTGATTTTCATACAAGCTCATAYATCATTGTATGCCTATGAATAGAGSAGGAACTGCAAGTCTGTTTTCCACAGTCAAAAATGATAGTAATTGGCTTGTGGGTTGCAAAGAAGGAYGGGTTTCAATACACAGGATATTCAATTCACTGTGCAGGTGATTTTGTGTTGGCCTTATTTCKCTCTGTACTGTTTTTGCCTGGGGTGTAGTTAATCATCTTCATGGCGGCTGATGTGGGGCTGTGTTTTGGATTTGTGCTGGAAACGGGGTTGATAATTCAAGGATGTTTTCATTATTAATGAGCAGTGCTAACACACATCAAGGCCCTTTCAGCTTCTCACCCCATCAGCATGAGGGCTGAGTGTGCACATCTGGGATGGGACAGAGCCAGGACAGCTGACCTCAACMGACCCAAGGAATGCCCCAGACCAYATGGCTCATGCTCGGCATGGAAAACTGGGGGAAGAAGCAGRGGGACATTCAGAGTGCTTTCCTGGGGAAGCCTGAAYACCTGCCTGACAATGGGGAGTGAATTCCTGCTTTTGTTTTGCTTGAGTGCACAGCTTTTRCTCTACATATTAAACTGTCTTTATCCCAGAGCCTAAGAGTTTTCTAATTTTTACTCTCCTGATTCTCTTCCCCACCTAACTGGGGGTGAATCAAGCAATGTCTGTGTGGTACTTAGCTGCCAGTTGGGATTAAACCATGACACCTCCTAAATGTTTCCCAGTGACAGCTGCTTAGAAAGAAGAGCTGTTACGTATGAAAGTGCAACTTTAAACAGCATTCAAGCTCTCCAAGTCAAAATTTGTCTAGACATGATAGCAGAATCATGCTTATGAAAGTACAACCATCTCTCAAGAGGGAAATCAGATAAATTAAGCAAAAGAGATTTTTTTTTTAATTAGGAATCCTAACCTACCAAAAACCAACATTATTTGCATTGGGAAAAACCTCACATTTTCAGTTAAAAAGCTTTTTTGACATTAATGMATTATGTTTTTGCTCTGGTGAACTCATTTCATAAGCCTTCAGGTAATGCGTGTGTGTCCCTCCATAAAGCCAGAACACAAAATGGTGCTGAAGGTGAGTTCATGAGCATGGTTATCATAGATTTGCCTAGGGTGCAAATACGTGAACCCCCCTGAAAAATGCTTGCTGATGCAGTTGGCAGGGACAAAATATATGAAGTTGTTTAAAGACAGTGACATGGAAATGTGGCAGCAGCTCCAAAATAGTGAGTGTTCTCCTAAATCAGCATATTTCTGTACTGACCCCTTCCAGATAGGGACAATAAAAAAGAAAAATTCATCATCTGCTATCAGAATTCTCTGCATTGCCAAGCACAACAGAGATCTTCCTAGCAWATGAAATTGGAAAATTAGGATTCATCTCCTGAGACCCAACAGAGCAGGAGTTCAAAAAATGCGCTTAAACACAATTGTTCATTGCTTTTACTTTATTGGGTAGCTGAYACCTTCCAAAGATAAACATTAAGAAATACCATCCCAAAAATGACATACTTTTAAGAATGTACAAAGCTGTTGCCATATTATAATTGTAGCTATTTTTTTTATTATTGCTCCATTTTCTAAAAAGAATTTTCCAGTTCTTATTACAAAAGTCCTTTCAAAGAGAATTTTCARTGACAATTTTATGTAGGAAACCAAGTTTAATGCTTATTGGTTACTCTTGTTTCATGTTGGCTCTTGAGAAGTTGATTGTGGGTTGATTGTTGGACCCAGAAGGCAGTGCTGGTGGGGACAGCAAGGTCATTTTCATTTGCTTTTATCTACAGAGAAGAAAAAGACAATATGATATAATCTTTCAAAAGAAAACCTCTCCTTTGCAATTTGTCACTCAGAGGTAATARTGGAGAAAGAGTGCTAGGAGCTAGAAAGAATGATTATTGCTCTCTCACTCTATTGAAGCTTTAGCCTTTAGTCCTCTCTATTAGAAAACCTTTTTCCCTTATGACAGAGAAAAACAAATAGGATTCTGCACGCTGTTGCTGCTACTGATGCCCTGGATGAGGTTCACTGTAAGGTAGCTTTAAAGGAATGATACTGTAAAATGTGGAAAACCTAAATTCACCCTCCTACCATTGCAGGTTTGTTCCTGTCCCGTGTTAATCAGCACTGAGAACAGACTCATTTCCTGTKGGGTGCAAATTGGGCCTTTCTGTTCATCTGTGGGAAAATGATTTTTCAAACTGATCCCATTGTTGGTACACATATGCACCCAAAACTTCAGCCTGGGTTTTGCCGTGTTTGCTGTCACTGACTGTTCTCCTGACCCAAATTAACCAACTCCCCTTCAGCTGCAGTTGGCACACAGCAGCAGCATGACTCCACTGTACCTGCTGAAGGACTTACCTGGTTTTTACCTTTCCCTGAAGTATTTATTCTGCTTGTTAAACAGTTAGAGAGTGAGGTGCTGTCACAGTCCTTGTCCCCAGCTGTCTCACCCCACTCATATGSTACACAACATTGATCTTTGCTACTTCAACTCACCAAGGCAGCAGGAAACTAACCCAGAAAYGAAGCTGATGGATTTCTGCTGGCTTAGCAAGGAAATCAGCTCACAAAAGAAAGACTTGCCAAGCACCAGGGCATATCCAGGGACTGTCAATAACCAATTTACACTGTGGACACTGGGGAGGAGGGAAGGGGAGATCCTGGRTGCTTTTTCTCTGTTAGCAGCAATGAGTTTACACTAATTCAAACCCTACTGGCACTGACTGCAGCACCTTTACTCATGGAATCATAGAATGGTTTGGGTTGGAAGGAACCTTAAAGATAATCTCATTTCAACCCCTCTGCCATGGGCAGSGACACCTTCCACTAGACCAGGTGGCTCAAATTCCTGTCCAGCTTGGTCTTGAGCACTCCCAGGGAGGGGACATCCATAATTACTCTGGGTAACCTGCTCCAGTTCCTTACCAACTTCACAGTAAGGAATTAGTTCCTAATACCTCATCTAAACCTACGCTCTCTTTCAGTGTAAAGCCATTCTGCCTTGTCCTACTATTCCATGCCCCTGTAAAAAAATCCCTCTCCAACTCTCTTATAGGCTTCCTCTAGGTACTGAAAGGCTGCTCTAAGGTCTTCCTGGATCCTTCTCTTTACATGAAGACAGCTTCTGTTTTTGCAAAACAAATCTGTCACCTCAATCCAAATAGCACATTTGTTGGGGGGTTATTGTCTGTAACACAAGGACACTAACAAATTTATTTTTTCACACCAAGCTGTTTTTGTTTGTGATTTGTTTTTGGTTTGTTTTTTTTTTTTCTGTAAATTTGCAAAGCAAACACTCCTGTTGCTAACTGAGCTCAGGTTTTGTATGGGTCTTTCTCCCCATGTCTCAGTCTAGCAGTTAAACTCCATCTGTTTCTTTCAACTGAAATTTTTAAAGGAGCTTCCAATGAAAAAGAGCTTCTCCGTACCTGGGCTGCTACACTTTTCATCAAATTTACAGATACCAAGACAACTCAGCTTCTGAGAGGGCTTATTTCAGACAAGCCTGTCACCAGATGGACAGCCTGCTACACTCCTGCTTTCTAGAAGTTTCAGGGAAGCATTAAGTAAACGAGTTTTCACTAACCAAAACCAACAGTTACCTGCAACAGCCAAAACTGGTGAATGAGCCTGTTATTTTTCAGTGATGGATGTCCCTGAGACCACGCCTGTATATGGTGCCCTCTTGACAGGAACAGGTTGACATACCTGCAATAAAATATTTGAAATCTTTCACTATTTTATCTTATCTTGCAGTTGCTAATTTGTCAAAATTGAAATAGAAGCCCTATGATAGCCCATCTTTCTATGTAATGCATCCCAATACTTTAACTTCTCTCTGGAAAAGATCCCTTGCACTGGGATTAAACTGTTCAGTTCTCAGCTTTCATCAGGAGCTGGGTAGCTAAATCTGTTCAACATTGTAACAACACAATTCTAAACCAATTTTTTAAATAAACAACTTAATATGAACCACCTCATTTTATGGATTCTTCTATTTGGCAGAGTATTTATGTTTTCCAGTGGTGTTTTCAATACATCGGTAAGAGAGGTTAAATAAATATCAGTGAAACAAAGCAAATTCTGCCTTGTGTGGATATCTGTCACCCACTATTTCAGTTGCTGGCTATAGGAGGCTGAGCTGGTTAAAAATTCACTTCTGAGGACATGCTGCAATTGATGTTTTTGTAAAGGGAAAAATCTCTCTAGCTTTGATGGGAAATGGAAACAACTGCATCCATGGAAGTCTTTCAGAATTGTGTAATTATCCAATTTCTTATAAATTTCAGTTCAGTTTTAGTTTTGATACTGTATTATGTGTATGAACTTGCAGGCAGCTCACTACCTCCTGTGARATTGAGGTCTTTGGAGGAGAGAATCATTCAGACACTTTTACATGCCCTTCTCAGGCCATCAAGACAACAGCAGAAAAAAATACACAAATTATCTTCGGAGCATTTCACTGGGCCATATTTCACATGGATGCTACTCTGATTCAACTTTTAGATCCTGMAGTGGTTCTCACTAATTCAGGTGGTGATTTTAAAATGTACTTTGTGTGCTTTTGAAAATCCCATTCACAGTACACTAAGMATGCAAAAGCATCATGAATGCTTGTACAGTAAATAGGCACTGAAAATTCGATCTTTATGTATTTGAAATATTTCTCTTTAAATAATAGAAAAGAACAAAAGCTTGAACAGAGCTATCTTCYTTGGCCCAGGAGAGTCCTTTCCACATGTTCAGCTTTTAACAAATTCTTGCTGGAACACAGCAAAATGTTCAGCACCCTACAGGGTTAGCCCAAAATATCTGATCCATGAAAGACTTGGAAAATTCTTTATTTCTTCCTTGGTGTAAGATTTCTTTCTGCATATGAYGTTAGGCTCTGTGATTTTCATAAAATCAGTGATGAATGCAGCAGTTAAATTACTCAGAAGCAAAACTTTGTCCCCTTTTATTGCAAGTAGGGCACATTTATTTTTAAAAKTACTGAGGCTTAGTTCCCAAGTTGTACAGACTACTGTAAGARCAGGAACTAGCCTCTGATATTTTTCTGTAAGATAAAGAGCAATAAAAATTGAGTCCTTCCTTTCCTCCCACCTTGGCTTATTTTGATTAGTAAGGAAAATTACTACTGAATCCCCAAACTTCTCTTCCCAAGAGCTAGTTATCCTCATGTTGTACAAGGCATTACAGAGATTTATTAGTTTAATTAACCTGTTCCCGCTGCCTGACTCGTTTGTAGACATATGGRGAGAATGGTGGACGGGAGACATATTTGCCTTCTCCTGCTGTGACATTGAAAACTCCGCCTTCATAAACCACTTTGCCTCTTGAAACTGTCGCAATTGGAACTCCATGGCAGGCCATTCCTTCAAATATATTGAAGTTATTTGCCTGGTGATGTGTCTTTGCAGATATTGTCCTGTGTTTACAAAACAACACACAAAATTGCTATGATCCTTTCATTTTACTTCATTACAAAATGTTGAGAAATTGATATAGGAAGAAAATTTAGCAACATTATTTAACTACAACACAGTAYGGTACATCATAGAGCAGCTGTCTAAAAATAGGATAGCTCAATAACATTTCATTGAACAGTAATTGCATTTCAAAAGAATGAAGAGGGAGTCAAAAGGACAGAACTCAGCAGCCTTGAAATGCAAAATTTTCCACTACAAAAGAGATTAGTAGAAAAAAATCAGGCTGTAATATTTTCTTTGGATAACATGATTTCATTTTGCCCTGTCAAGCAAATATCTATGCACAATTCGATCAGAAAAAGCTCTGACCTTTTAGCTGGAATGRCTTGCAATTTCAAGTTTGAAAAGCATGGCTTCAATGTTTCAAAGATTGAGTCTCACAAATAACACAAAGACCATTTCATTGGAAAGTCAGTAGAGGGCAATGATTTTTGATAATGCTTAGTGTGAGTTGGATTGATGACTGACAGCCCAGATATCTCAATGCTGCTAAATAATAATGGCAACATCACATTTATACATAACTTTCCTCCAAGGGTATTAAGTAAATTATAATTTCAGACTTCAAGAGTACTCATTTGAATGATGGTATTATTACTTTTGTATATATAGACCTCGTTCTATATGATTTCCATTATTCTAGCCAATTTCTCCCCCTAACTGGCTGCTTTAAAGGCAGAGCCAATGCTAGAGCTGACTTGACTATCTGGAAGTGCAGGCTGCRCACACTTCCTTTATTGTCTATTTTCCCTACTGAGAGACTTACTACATACTGTAACTACAGACGGTCAAAAGATTTTGAATTTCAATTAATTATTTTATTAACTYCCAGCATCAAATATACACATTTATATATGTATGTATTTATTATTTAAAGAATTGATATTTTTATTGTCATTCATAGTTTCTGAAAAGAAGGAAACTTCATACTTTTGGCCACCAGTTAGGTTTTTTCCAGTATGGGTGCTCATGTAATCAAAAATCTATCATGCATATATTAGAACGCAGATATATGCATTCCTATGATTTCAGAGACTACATCTTTTTGCMAAGGAGTTATCAGAATTATTCTGTCAGAGTTATCTTGTAATAGATTAAAGTATTTATCTATTTGGAGAAGAATTTTGTAAAACTTTGGTCAACATCCTTATCGAAATGAGAAAACCACAAAAAATCTGTATCTTACTTGAAGTACAGCCATTTTCAAAAATAATCATATTGAGTATCTGAAATGATTACTTATACAGAGAAAAAAGAATTCATGGAAGGATACTCAGTTTTCAGCATTCTGTTGAACTGAGAGAAATTGGTTCTGCTARGGGCTACATTGAAATCTTGGTGGTAACTGACATTTCAAAGGCTGTATATATGCAAATACCGTCTACGACCAATCTGCTCATAAGAATAAAAACTTTACCTTATTCAGCACACCTTGGACAGAGAACTTATGCCTGCCTGTTCACCAATATCAGCATCCCCKAGTAGATTCACATTGGGAAAAGTCAAACCTCTCTTGTTTTCATTGGCCCTATTGAATACTGTCAAGYAAATTTATCCATGGATGTTATAACAGCCCTATAAGGAATTTGTGAAGATATTYCTTTAGCTTATTCCATTACCCTTATGGGTCCAATTGCTAGAGAAYAACTGTAATATAATTATCTTTAGCATTCTCTGAGTATATATYCTATCTGTTTGCACAATAGTACTGGGACATGAAAAGAATAATGGAGAAGGTAATTTGAGGAAACACACAGTAAAATAAGCAAATCCTTCATCAACATATGAGCTRTTTAAATGTGCTAGAGCAGGATCACTAGAGGTAACCATGCCTCAGAGGTAAGTACGTCCTTCATTTAAAGATACAAAAGGAATGGAAGTTGGCACGTTTTAAACTAATATCCATTTGTACAGCTAAACCTTRCAATATGACAAAACACATTTCCAGAGCTTGTCTCAACAATAAACCACTATAGAATTCATTTATAACTCTTCTGTTGAAACAAGCTGTAGATCATGCTGCCCTTTCTTGAAGGTGAGGTGGATTTTCCCTTAGGGAGATCACCAAAATTTGCCCGTGATTTAACCCTTTGACATTATCAATGTCAGGGAAAGTTTCAGGGAGCAAACAAGCAAGCAAATAAAACAGAACTAGATGGTATCTTTGGGTCTGAAGCTCACAGCTCAGCAACCTTACAGAACAGACTGTTTACAGCTGTATCACTAATTTCAGTAGCAGGCAGCTTAGCAAAATTCTGATRTTTGCTCTCAGGTAATAACAGAAAGAGTTGTAATCTACTAATAATCCAAGAAACCAAGACTGCCACCATAGTAGAGTAGAATTTAACAGCTGTCTCCAGGGACGCCTAATTCAAAGGATCAGTCAGCATAAGAATAGATTCTGAGTCCGGGTTTCAAAAATTTGTATTGTATTTTTAAAATAAAATTTGTAACATTCTCTAATTCTGGTTATAAATTACAGTKGCTCTTGTTTCAGACAACCCTTTCTCAAGTGGAGACTGAGATCAGAACAATTACTTCAACATTTAAAAGAACATTCTCCTCTACAAAGACGACAATGTAAAGCCACCAGGTCCTGGATTGTTCCTACTCACATCAGCGTTTCCACACAGTTCCTTCAGCTGTTTTTGAKACACCTGGCTTGCAAAGGGATTGGAAGCTGTTAATGTAAACACTGACATTCCTCTAGTACCAAAGAGGAAGAATTGCTTCTGAAATTAAYTTTTTTCAACACCATGCTTCTGTCCAACTAATTTAGAGTCAAATAATAACTTAGTCTAAGTACAGTTGACTAATTTTCTATAATTGTGTGAAGATTSACTAATTAGTGGTACCATATTTATTCACACTCTGTATGCCAGGACTTTACAGTCACTCCTAGAGGACTGTAACTAAATAAGCTACAAACKGCAACTTGAAATTCAGAAAAGAGCAGCAGATTAGACTAATGCAGCAACATGTAGGGGAAATTCAAGACTATACAGTAGTCAGCTCAAAAGGTATGACCTAAAGCTTTGTTAAGTAGTTAGAGGTACCAATTTTCATCTCAAGAAACTTGTCTATGCCTCAGTCAGAGACAGAAACAGTAAATAGTGAGTAACAGTCAGTCAAGCAGGGGACATGGATGAGGAGAAAATATTAGAAATAAGAGTGATCTTCTACCTTCTGTAATGCATAGGACATGAGGCAACATCAGCTCTAGAACCAAAACTTTGACTACCAYGAGGATTATCCCTTTAATTTTCAAYRTCAGGTAAGCAAGCAAATGAAGAATTTAATTACGTTCAGTGGAAATGGATACATACCTCACCCAGATTTCTTAAAAAATTTCAKTTACAGGAATAGGAAGRAATACTGYAGACYACAGCCCTTAGGCTCAACATCTCRGTAARGGGAGGACAYGTATTTTACAATCAATTAAATAATYAATTTAAAACATAGTAACAAAGTCTGTCATTGAAAAGAACTTCTTTGTTGACAGCTGACAAAGCAAAACAATTTATGTAGGGGTGAATATTTGAGCTGTAAGTGACTTCTCTCAATGCTTTCAGTGGATGGAAGCATTCATCTTGGAGMTTTTCAGAGCTGGGGACAGGTAAGAAATATCACTTTGCTAAGGTCAGTATCAGCCTTAGTGAGCTGCCTCTTTTCATCACTTGCAGATGMCTTTGAACTCTACATATTGTTAATCTGTTTTTCTAAAATGTACAAAAAATATTTCACCTTTCTATGCTGAGTCACCACYCATTTACAACGATAATTAGGAGTTTTATTAAAAAGAAAAGATCAGGAAAAAAAAAAGAGAGGAAAAATAAGGAAGTCTTAAAATCTGTGTATTAAAAGTCTAGCTATGAGACTATAATGTGGATTTAAAACCTCATGGCCTACTTTATATAAAGGAATTGCAATAACTGCAGATGCAAATATWTGCAGGCAACTATTTGTAAAGTTGTGTTCCTAGCCTCTTAAAAAACATCTTCAATAAATATAGCTTTTGAGTAGCTGTGCGAATTGAGAAGATTTGTAGATAAAACTACCAGATGCAAGAAGAGGCAGGAAATTAATGTTTGGGAGCTTCAGATCAAAGTGACTTATCTGAAGGAATGGGATTTTTATTTCATGCAATCATATGTCCTAAAATTATTTTAAGCAGGGGGAGAGGTAGAGAATGACAATAAAATAATTGTTTTATTATGGTAAGTAGCTCATTTGTCAACAATACTATTCAGTGTGGTCCTACCAATTGCTCCAAGCTGATGCAGGATGGAAGTGAATATTTGTGAAAAACTGTGGGAAGGAGAGAAACAGTAATGAGAAATCAGCTTGCAGAAAAGCAGACAACAAGAGAAAAACACAAGTTAGTCTATTCAATGACTAGAGAAGATTTTGAAGTGTTTGCAAGGGAAAAAAAGTCAAAATTATGTGAGCAGAAAATAAAGGAAGATTTCTCTTTTTTGGGTAACATTTCTGAGATTCACTTTTCTAAAGAGACCAAGTGACATTTTGGAGACAGCAAGTTACTAGGGAAACRTACATCATGGACTCTCAGAGAGGCTCATCTTGTTACAGTTCATGGAACCAGAGTGTCACTGAGGCTGGAAAACATCTCTGGAGATCATTGATTCCAAGCCCTCTGTTCTGATCAGGGTCAGCCAAAGTAGGTTTCTCAGGGCCATGTTAAATTGGGTTTTAAGAACTTCCAAAGAGGGAGATCCACAATCTCTACRGGCTACCTGTGCCAGTGTTTGATCACCATCACAGAAAAAATATTATTTCTTATGTTGAAATGGAATTTCTTTAATTTGAATTTGTGATTACTGTTTGTTTCTCTCCATTTTCTTAATTTGAGAAAGAGATCTTTGGCAGGATTCTAGTGAATTAGTGTACATTCTTGCATGTACATGCTTTCCCTTGTGCAAGAAGGGCATGGGGTTATTGAAAATTGCAKAACATTTCTGTCCTATGCATAGATATTTGTATGCCACATTATTTCATTTTGTCTCATTGTGACTAGATGCAGTTATCCATATACTCAGGATTCAAAATTATGCTCATTCATCAAAAGAGTGGGACAGTTGCAGCATTATTTATCCTAATCTTCTGCTAACATCTTGGTCTCTTCCTCTCTCATGTTACTAAAAATTACAGGCAGTTACTTGGCAGAGGGCTTAAACATTGTAACGTCCCCACTTAAACATCTCAGGCTGAAGATTTGATTACAAATAAAATGGGTTCAGGCTGCAGATTTTGGTCCTAACAAATGCAAAAGATTTAGCCATGAACATATCTATATGCAAGCAAAGACATTGAGGARCCTTATGCCAACAGACTGGTGAACYCAGACTTCTTGCTGATTCACATTCCATCACTGTTTCCCTTAAAATGCAAAAATACTAGAAACAAACTAGAAAACACATCTTCCTGCGTCATGTCAGGCAGGTTATTTACAGAGTAACCTGCCCTTTTCCTCCCTCCCATCCTCACCTCAGGATTCCCCCATTCCCTGCTGGCACCCGAGGGGTTCCCTGCAGCAGCCTGGCACTGGGGCTGGCACTGGGGCTGGCACTGGGGCTGCCAGAGAGCACCACTCCAGCACAGTCTCAAGAGGAGGGTGCCACCTGCACAGCCAGCTCTGCCTTTGCAATCACAAATATCAACTTTTCAGCTGTATTTAATGGAGGAAAAAACCCTGGGGGCTGAGGCTTCCCAGTTAGGATGTTGTTATAATGAAGTGGCTGGACTTAAAAAGTTAAACTCTATTCCAGACAGGTTTTTATTCTTATGGGTGTTTGATCTTGCCTTTGGGAACTATCCAGAGTTTGCTTGCAAAGCTCCAACAGGCTACAGTGAATTAATTGAGCCCTAATACGTGCTGGGAGATGGATGTCCCTTTATGAGATCTTTAGGACCTTCTCCCCTACTTTACAAGGGATGCTCAGCTCTTTTCACTGCCTGAATTGGSTACTGCAGTATTTAGACTCCTTGCTGAGCATTTCTGTAACAAACCCTAGAGATTTTATRCTCTTGCTTGCTTTCAAATAGCTAAAGGCATCAGCTATAGAGGACACTGAGTTGCTGACAGGTGAAATTCCCTCGCCCTTACTCTGCTCTCTCCTCCTAAAAAAGTCTTTACAGTTGCTTTTGCTTCACAGACACGCGGCTTTTATATTATTTGTGAGCAGCTGAAAGAAGTCAGAGAACAGTCTTGATCAAAGCACAGATTAAAATAMGATGGTACAGTGAGTACACATTTGCTGCCTACATGCCTTTTCCCAAGGAGTTTTCACAGAACAATCCCATTTGCACAGACTGTACTTGGGATGATGAGGGTGTTGAGGTCTGCAATATATTTGGTACCACATGGTTTGCAATAAACCAACAGAGCCCTTTGGTCTTTAATGAATGGAATAAGTATAAGAAAGCTAACAAAAAGACCTACTTTGGGAGGACTCACAACCCATTTTCTGTAATGCAGTTTCTAACCAATTTATACATCTATTGTTTCTTCCTAATAATGCTTGCTGTCATGCAGACCTGCTAAAACTAGGATTCAGATGCTTTTAAATATAGTAGCAAATGTGGAAATACTTGATATAGTGTTTTCTTTAGAAATTACCAGAGAATGCTACAGAAATAGGCCAGTCAATGAAGCTGACCCCTAAAAGGAAAGCCTCAGCTCCAGCAGCAGAGTGCTCAAAGCAGAAACTCAAATTGCAACTGCTRCCAGTTTGCAGAGTTGTCACGTTGAATTCACTAGGGTTTTACAAYCCAGAAAGAGAAAATCCTCATTGCTCAGATAGCACCCAACATGTTGTTATTGTGCAATGATGTGGGTGGGGAAATGCAGCTGATTTTGTAGGGATACAAGTTTTTGTACTGAAGAGCTGCATTACCTTTCTGAATGCCTCTAGAATCTTCTGTTTAGACTTCCTCTGACAGATTGTGATAATATCAGATCCTCACAGCAATACTTCAGCAACTGTCTAACTCTTCAAGCTGGTGTCAGTCAGTATTTCAAGACTGCAGCAAAACAACCTCAAACCAGAACTGGAAAATTGCATTTTCCTCTTACAAGGCTGAGAGTTGCAGACAAGAAAAAAAGTCATGCACAAAAGAGGAAGAACTCAGCAAGAAAGAGGAACAAACCTATTGTGAAATTGAAGATCACTCCCCAGAATCAACAAAGCACAGGAGGCAGCGCGTTGTGTAACATCTTAAAAGGCTGAAATGCATTAGCYAGATCCCTTCTCTTCTGCTGGGCTGTTTATGCCCTCTTCAGGATTTGTAGTGAAATTAAGAGAAAAGTTCCAGTGAGATTTATTTATACTTACCCATGTAGTTCACACAAATTTACTTGCAAAAAGACTGTCCACAGCAAAGCCAAACAATGGGAACAGTAGAAGGAAGAAAAATATTGGTTGAACTTAAAATAAGCTGGCTCAGTTAGAAAATACCGTTCAAATGTTTAAAAAAACAAAGAAAAATGGCACCCTCACAGCTTCAGTGGGGGAAAAGGCAATTAGAGCACTCAGGAGAGACTGAAGGGAAGCAGAAAGAATATTTGGGAGGCAAAAAAGATAAATAATTACAGGAGCTGACAAAGCACCTTGAGAACATTGTCAGAACTCTGCTACCTTCTAGATTCATTTGTCCCCAGGCAGAGCAGAAGAGAGCTCAGAAAACAACCCTTCAGSCTTTTTTTTTTTTTTTTTAATCAGAGTCCATAGCTTCACTGTCCTGAAATAGCTCAGTGCTGGTATCTCAAAATATGCTTGCTCAACATGCCAGAAGGCATAATGCACATGAAAATCTCCCTCACCCAGCACTGGGCAGGCCTCTATATTTATTTGGGTTGTTGACACTCCACATCTCTTCTTTTGCTGGTGCTGCCAGGTTCTTTTGTAAGACTTCTGAATAGCAGCCTCCATATCCTCAAATATTGTAGCTTAAAACACAGAAGACTTTTGTTCACACTTTCACATGTCTTTGATACTCATTAAGATAATAAAAATAAGTGATAATTATGCTAGCAAAAATTAAAAMCCCAAAAGATTGGTCAAAAGACCTTTGTTTGTGCAAGGTAAATCTAGGATTAAGGTTTTGGGTTTTTTAGCTATTTGGCCACCAAAATAAGAAATGCTGAGTTACATTTCAGAACTTTCCTCAACCATGAGCAGAGCCTTCAATGTACTTCTTTTCAAAAATCAAAGGCTGAAAGCACAGTTGTACAGTCACACTGCTCACTAGAGCTGAGCCCATGAAAAAAAGCCCATCCCAGAACACTTCCTGACCTGCTGCTGCTGCTGTGAGCAAGGAGGTCAGAGGTGTGACTCGGTTGTTAAAGTTSCTGCAGATTTAAGTTACCCTGCCCTGGCACAGTGGAGATGCACTCACAGACCCCGTGGGCATCTCAGCTGAGAGAGAAGGTGATCTGACTGTGACAGGCAGCTGCCAGACCATTTCCAGGCAGTTTAAACAAGACCAGGATGGGCACAAGAGACAGAGCAAGATTCAATTTCAGTTTAATTCCTATGGAGTTGGCTGATGATGTGAATATACCTGAAGACAGGAGTCAGCAGTAATGCACAGTTGTCTGTGCAGTTGAGGCTCCTAGAAAGATACTTCATAGCCTTTCTRCCCAAAATGTACCATGGCATCAAGTCATGCAGGGTGAGACATCAGGACACCTTTTGTGCCTCTGTTGGAGGGACAAGCTCTATTTTAACAGAATTACTGTGAACACAATCAGAAAACTTAAATAAAAGCACCTTTGAGCACGTTTTTAGTGGCTGGTAGTTCAAAACACAAGTTTGTAATAGGTCATGCTGCAGCAGGCTCTTGTCCCTGCCCTTTGCAAGGGGAGGAATTCAAATATTCTCCAACACTAAACTGAGTTTCTCTAAAATCCCCAAGGGGTTCTCTTTACTCTTAGGATACCAAGCYCTGGTTGCATAATGTACAGACTTYTTTATTTTTGCACTTGGTCAGCAATCAGAATTTATTAATCCACCTAGAAATTAAAGATCTCTCTTTACATGCACTATTGTGGGGGACAAAACCCTGTCATTAATTCACACAAGGTATTATTTAAAATCACCACAACCTCACCCAAAGCCTTATTGCTTCCAAAAGTCTTTGTGATGGGTTTTTTTTCCCCCTGCAGGAAGGCTGGATTAGGGGGAATAAATAACTTTCCATACATACCTTGTAGCTTCAGGATCCCAAATTAYGATGTCAGCATCAGAGCCCACAGCAATTCTCCCCTTCTTTGGGTAAAGRTTAAAGATTTTTGCTGCATTTGTGCTGGTAACAGCTACAAATCTGTTTTCATCCATYTTTCCACTGTACTGMAAAAGAGTGCACAAAAGAAAACTCYTTACTTTTTTWAACAASGGATGTAAAAAATACTCTTCTTGTTAGAAAAGCTAGGAGGAGAGGCATCACATCAATTTTTTTAAAGGTCATATTGAAGAGTTTAGAAATAAAAATAACTATTTGTCTCAGATGCCCATAATGCAATGTACTTTCACAAAATACAATAACTTTATCTTCCTTTATCCCACAGCAAAGAGAAAAAAAAGTCAACTTTAAACCAAACACTGTGGKCCCAATCATGAAATTGAATGTTTGRGCTGGCTTTAAATCTGTAGTCCTGCTCAGCAATTTCCTTTGGAAACATAACATCTCACAAGTGTCTAGGTTTTGGAAAATAGTGAGACAGCATAAAGGACAGTCTAGAAGAYGATAATGGCAAGGCAAGGCACAATGTATAGGAAAACTGATTTGGAAATTTCTTTAACAATAACACAGAGTATAGTAGTGCTCAGTAAATGCTGAAATCAAGTAGTATAAAAACCAGATTTGCTGATGTGACACTTCAGCAAAATAGCAAATAGTAATGGATAAAAATGTGTTTTGGAACTGTTCACTGCTATGTAACTAATTTAATCCTGTTGTTTGTTTGGAAAGCCAGCTACAYTGACAGTAATATTGTGCACAGACTGGTCAGTCCAGAAATCAGAATGTCATAAATGCATGTTTATGGTGGCTTGTGAGCAGTCATCTGAGAAGAAAAGTGCAATGAAAATGGTGAACATTGCTCTTCTAAGTAATGGTGTGTGGGAAGGAAGGGAAAACTCAGAAAAACTCACACAGCTGTGTAATATTTTACAAGTGAAAAAGGGAGGATATTACCAACTGAAGAACTTTCAACAGGATATACTGTTCAAATCAGCGCTGATAAACATTCATGTCTCAGTCTCATATGAACCACAAAGCAAAGTTCAGTGTTCATAAATAAAATCTCATTAGAGCTGTGCCRCAGGTAAGTATAGGCACAAGTGTGTGTGTTTTGTACATAGCAATTGGAGCTGAATCCCAAATAAAGATAAACAAGAGACATCATCAACCACATTCTTACCAAGTGTGAGAGGTTGGTTATTATACCATATATACCATAATATATGACAAATTAAGGTGCTTCACAGTGCATTGTCAACGTGACTTCACTACTGCAAGAGAACTTAAATTGAAATAGAGCTTCCAAAATGTGACAGTTTTGCATCAGCCAGAGCAATCCAGTATGCAGCAGGTTGCTCCAGAGATTGCCTTACCTCCCACCTCCTGAGACATTATCTGAGAAGCACTGACCATTCWTTTGCTGGTACTGAGAATCTGAAGTCAGTGGGACTTGAAGGTGCTCATTTCATATCACATGGCTGAACCACAAATCAGAGGAGCATTTCTTAAAACATACATTAGAAGTTGAGAGCCACACCAGTATGGAAATTCCTCCAATGGGTAAGTTTGAGAAAGATCAAAGAGGAAAAAATACACAGCTGATAGAGTCAAAAATGTAGGCAGCTTTTTCCATTTATTTTGATTTCATGAATTGAAATGGAATTTTCAAGGAAATGTACTTGYAGTACCATTGAAACAATAGCAATCACTTACTGCTAAAAATTAGAAATGATTCTTTAGTGATCTATTTTAAGCACCAAGAATCTTCTTCTGTCTTCCAGGACCACAAGTGAGAGCTAGTAAGAACTGTTACGATTTTCAATCAAATGAGCTATCCTGTGCTAGACAAGCTTGATAAAACTGCAGAGTTAATACCTGCTGAGAGATCATGTTTTGTTGGAGAAACCAATTACCTCTATGTTTGGACATTTTGATGTACTTACAACTCCTTTTTCCCATATGACTGACATCCGGTCTTCCACKCCATTCACTCCATTTGGGATTTTTGTGAAGTCATCTTTGCCCAGAGCTTTCTGGCATATGTCAAAGGTGCAATTGTCAGTCCCTGTCACAGATAGGTCACCACTGCGGRGAAACAAAGTTCATTATGAATCAGAGCATATACTGGATGGTACCACATAGGAAAACATGCTGTAAGGCTGGGTGGATTCAACCATTCATCCTCCAAGGAAAAAGCTGATATGCCCTGCCAGCCTGCATTCAGTCCCATCCTCCAAGACTGGCTCCACAGTAACAGCCAGCTCACCTATGAAGTAATTTCCTCTTAGAAGAAAACAACCCCCAACACCAACACTTTTACTCTGGGTATGTCAAAGATATCCCACAAATGGAAAACTGTCCCATTTTGCCCAGAGCAAACAGCTTAGTTTCATCCTCACTTTGGGCAATTTTAGTCTGTGTCACTCCATATGACCTGAAATTACTACAGATCTGCACAACAGTCAGCCAATGTTCAGGCATCCTTTACTGGCTCTTTAAACAAATTCAACCCTTTTGTGGAGTTGACCTTTATTGGTAATGCAATACCAGCAAACCGTACATCTTGTTAACTGCAGATATCTGAAAGAGACTTCTTTTTCTACTTCCTTCTGAAGCAGATGTTATGAAGTAGATAACTTATATGTACCTTCCGAAATTAGCAAGATTAGTTTTGATGCAACATTCAAATTCCAAGTGTAAAAGGTAGCTGACAACAAACACCAGAAAATCTAGCTGTGACCTCACATTTTCCACATTTCTCACTGACTTACAACCTTACGGTCTTCCTGGTCATGTTGTAATTTTTGCTGTGGTATGAGCAAGATTTATTGAATAAAATCAAATGTGGACAGTAGGCTGTAACAGTTCAGAGAAAAAAAAAAACATGAAAACAGACATGTTTTTAATCTGTGATTTCACCTTCCATTTCTCCTTTTTGACAATGTAACATGTTGTACTTAGAAAATCTCCAGAGCATTAACCTGCTATTATGTACTCCTGATAAAACTTGCTGTGCATTTGGGTATCAGCTGTCACTGTTTGTTCATCTGCTTACTTGGCCAGYAAGTCCATGAGGAAACCAGGAGTGGATGGATCTGGTCTCAGTGGGGGTCCCATCACATATCCTGCAGCGTGAGCCCAGTCTTTATTCCAGTAGTTGGTGCCATCAGTGCCAAGACTTGCAGCAATAGGCTCCCCATAAACCACCTTTCCTGAAAAATGTAAAGCAAACATATCATCATCAGACAACATAAAAATGCATTACCTTGTATATTCTCTGTTGAGGATCTTTTTGGTGGCAATTAATTTAAATTTGAATGAGTGTTTAAAATTAAGCRCCAGCATATGGAAGGACATAATAAACTAAGCTGTAACACAGCATCTTTGTTCTGAATATTCTGCTAGTGATTTCCCAATATATTTCYTGTTAAAGAACATTGCTTGGGCAAGTTTTTTAATTAAATTGTTGACAGATATACTATAATGGATTTTACACATTGTTTACTTGGAATGTGATTGAGATTTCAAWAGGAACACAGTCCTCAGTTGCATTAATTATGTTTAAGATTCATATACTCGGTAACACCTGTTCAGTGCTCTAAAATTACTGACTACATAACTGTGTAAGTTAATATATACAGCACACAGACTTTGCAAGGTGGTAGTTTCAATTGTCAGGCTGTAATTGTGCCAGGAAGAACAATATGGCAGGACACATAAACTAGGAAGTATAGAAACATTTTCTAACTCAACAACTATAAATATTTTCATGTTAAAAGTTATATCCCAAATTTTAATCTTTCATCCTTTGCTGCACAAAGTATYGTAGTTTMCTCAGAAGAGGACACCAACCCAGAMYAGCTGTTAGTCTTTGGACAGAGCTAACGTATTTTAGCCTCTTTTTCCTCCTGGGAAATGTGTTTGAAGTTCATCAGAAGAAGATGTTTCACTCCCTGAGCTGGTGGTCCAGACACTTTGCAGTTCTGTTGCTGGCGGGTGGTAATGCCTCCAGCTGCAATGGTCACTAAAAACCRGAATGAGCTGTGACCTCCCACACCCACTCAGAGGCAGCTTGGTGCTGGTTAAAAGCAGCCTCTGCTGGGTCCCAGCAAGAGCCTTCTCCCTCCCCTGAYCCCTACAGACGGTGGATATTTTGCTATGGATGCCAGATTTCACTCCAGGCACAGCTTTTATTAGAACAAGCACTGCATTGCCCCAGCAAGGCCACAGCTGGTGATTGCTCAGTGACACAATACGGTGACCTTCCTCTGTCTTTCTCTGGGTAAGTCACACATTCACGGTTCTGCTGGAAAACAACAMAGCAAAGCTTTGCAGATTTCTCTCTCTGCATTAAACTGCTACTTSTGTGAACTCCTGGACTGTAACTCCTGCACTGGCATAGGCAGCTGCTGAGGAGCTCAACTACTTAAGAAATAAGTTTCCCATTGCACAAGTGCCATTCCTGAAATCTTTGGTGCAAGTCTTGCAAAAAGGCCTCATATAATTTTGTTTCTGGTGCCAAGGTCTGCTCTGGTGTTACYCTCTGGTGAGGGTAGGCTGCCACCAATCTAGATTTTACAGGGAATTTCTGGTGTATATATAACCAATCTGACATATTCACCTATTAGTCTTTTGTCTTATTATTAGTAATCAAAGCCAGCAGAAAGCAGAGGGAAGTTTGGTTTGTGTCTCTCCTACTGCATMTAAACAAGTTAAAGAAGCCTTCATCCAAAGTAAGCCTGAGCTGTGAATGGTTAGGACATAGCTACAAATTATTAAAATTGCAGGGAAAGGGTAAATTTTTAGCTTAACAACTTAGAGAATAACAAGATAATAATTTTCTCATCTCAGTTTCACAATGCAAAAATGAAGTTTCCAAGCTCCGAGTCAGATATGCTGAACACGTTCTAACTCATGTACCATAGCTGATGACAATATTTCTGCAGTCAGAATTTGAGTTGACCAGCTCCCTTTGYTCCCATGAGTGGGGAGGAGTAGAAGCGATTCCCTCAAATGATTTTGARTCTGAACACTGCAGTTTCAACAGACTGCCTCTGGACAGTTCTGCTGAATGTGCAATTTCTTTTTGTATTTCATTTGGGCCATGACTAGCCAGACTGAAGGATACAATAATATCAACATTCTGCTTTAATCCAAATAAAAAGGAAATTCTGCACTGAAGCTCTTTTAGCTCAACTGGCAGCAAGCAAATTTTGCATTAGGGTTCTTYTAGCTTGATTGGCTTCTCCCTATAGGCATAAAAGTAAAGTAAAGCATCAGGTCTTTCAAATTGTTATGTTTTCCAGCATTCAATAAAAGAAAGGGACCAGCAAGTGTTCTGCAGTTAGGTCTTTCTGACATCTCTGAGCAGCTGGGAAATAGCTGTCTATTTGGTGACTTTTTTATCAGATGCCCAAACTGGCTACCAAGAGCTCTTTATAATACATTACTAAAAAGAAGAACATTCAATCGCAATTGTTTTTTACCACCTACCAGAACTCATAAAGAGTTACAATATTGACAAACACCAACAAACATTTACAGGCTTGAAAAAMCAGTCCATATGTGCTTAATCTAGGAGAAGTTTTAGAAGCACTTGAGGTCATATGGGGCAAAGATACTCACAAGCTGCGCTCTGAAAGGAGCAGAACTGCAAGGCAGGATTTATTGAATCAGGGATAGCATTGCATCCATTAGGCCATGTACAGTGTGGGCCTGAGCTGTTCTGCATGAGACAGCTAAAAAGCTGATATTTTTAGTTGCACTCCTGTGCTCAGAATCAGCTTGAGAATTTGTACACCCGAGCAATGGCCATGCCATTCCTCTCACTGAGAGGACACATAACCTGTGACTGATGGTAGGAACCAACTTTGTAAGTCTAAGTAAGCTTCTTAGAATCTGGCCAGGTACATATTTTTGTATGCACTTTTTTAAAAAAGGAGAAACTTCAAAAATTTACTTTTTCACTAAGATTTTGCTCTCCAGGTCTCCACTAGAATGTCCCATTTTCTTGGCTCTAGCAGCACAGTAAATGTGTGCTGAGGAAAAGGACATGATCTTTAATCATCACGCTGGATGATCTTAAAKGTCCCTTCCAACCCAAACCATTCTATGATTCTATGGTATCCAGAYTTTAGCACACTTAGATTGAAAGYATTTTTAGGGGAAACAGTATAAATYATCTACCCCTAAATCACATTYTACTAACCTTGCTCTCTCCACAGGCATTKCTAGTGGCAGGCATAGGTGACAGAGCCACATTAATTTTCCCCAGGAAGTTCACATCAGGTAATCCTAATTAAGGATMATAATTAGCAGAAGGAGCTCTACAGCCTCTTATTCTCATTGKAGGGAAGATTTTACACAACAGCAGGAAGAGAATCCCTTTTGCCTTCCCACTTTAGGGAATGAGACTGTCATGCAYGCAAATGTATCAGACTGCCCTTCTCTACCTATTCTATCAAGAYTCAAGGTCATTTTTTGCACAGGGATGAAGAAACAGTGCCCTGAGACAAGCAAGAACAGCTCTTGCAGAGAGGTTCTGTCTTTGACCCTCTCAGTGAAGAACTGATGAACCATTGCTTTTGGCAAACAGGCTGAGAGGGCTCCTCAAAAAGAACAGCATGGGAGTGTGAGTTAGCCTGTTTCTCTCTGCAATAGTCACAATGTGAAGTTTTGAATTCCCTGTTGAATATTCAGCAGCTGTTACTCATGTGCATGAAAAATGTCCTTGTATAATCTGGAGGTTTCCTTCCTTGAGTGGTGCTGCTGGAGATCAAAGCAGACAGAGATGGTGAATGGTGGCATGGAAGAGAGGAGGAAAGACTTTCACTCCTCTGATTCTCCTAAAGTTTGCTTAATCTASAATAAGAGCTGCTATTCCTTTACAGTGTGTGTGACTGATTTTAGCCTTTAAGRTCTGAGCCATAGCTCACTGAAGACAACAGAATTATGCCAACTGTCTTGAGTAGGCTCTATCAGGCCTTCAGTCTCTAATATTAGTCCTCACCTTATACAGCTAAATGAGGGACAAGGAAGAACTGGTCTCTGACTTACATTTTAGATTAGGGATCACTATCTCATAGAATTTGTGAAGCAATGCTTCAATTCTGGTATCACACTGTCAACCAGAAAATAAATTTCACTCACTGGAGATCAATTTTTCCCCTTCTGAGGTCAGTGATGGAATTGGAAGGGATACCAATCTTCCTCTGACATAGGCAGTGATATGCACATATCCTTTGTATTTCATGCCAAGTGCTTGGAAAGGAACATGACAAATTTCACAATTGTGAATAGCAGGAAGCTAGCATCAAGACATGGAGAAATAATCTTGAAAAGATGAATAAACTGTATTAGGGTAAATATTTCAAATGTTTGAGAGGCTTCCAGTATTAAGAGTTTACACAACTTTCACATTAGAGTGGTTTTTAACCTGTCTTTGGATGTATTTCACCAGAAAATTTGAGTTTTATTTATGTCATTCATACAATTCTTGGAGATTTTTTTTTTGTCTGGAACTCCTCGCTTCCTGTTACCACTTTTTACTGGAAAATGGAAAATAACTTCTACTGAAACCAACAGTAATGAATTTCCAATTACCAAGATTTATACAGATCAACCTCATTAAAAACTATAATTCTTGTAACTACATTTGTGGTAATCTATTATTTTTTGAGATTTCTTAMTCAATCTTAGATTTCTATTTTCTAAACAGCACACTTCTATGCAGATAAATATGAATTATGGAGATACGTTATATATTGCTGTGCACAAAGGCAAGCATTGATGAATCTGACTGCATCAGTCAAGGAAGTTATAAAATACAATTTGCACCACAATATACATAAATTTTCCCATTTTTTTTGTTTGTACAGATTGGAAAAGCATATATCTATTCTGAGTAATCAAACTGGCACTTACAACACACACCTAATCCATGTTTTACAGTATTTACTGTCAGCATAAAATTCTTTACTTGAAGTAAAGTACAATACAGTATATTATAAAACATTGCCTCAGCTCTTTTATGTTCACGGCCAGTGCTTCATCTTTTATCTGGGTATTTCAACTGTTGTTACAGCTTCTTGTAGTTAATGTTCACACCACGCCTGTGAATGTACAAATAACCGTGCACTGATGGATATAATCCACATTCCTGGCAGCACTGGCATCTAGTGGAGGAATCCAATATAGCACAGTACAAAAAGATGTGCTGTTAAAATAGATTCTGGTGAATTCTTTTATAAATTTGAATTACTGCTGAATCTCAGTAGAAGTCATGGTCATACACATTGTGCATAAACATATTCATCTATATTACCACAATGACATCACACTGCTTTGATTTATCAAGATCTCATACTCTACATTTAAATATGAATAATCTGTGCCCCCTGTATAGGCATTATCTAAAGATGTAAAATAGGGAAACTGGGGTCTGTATGGAATGCATCTCAAGTCAGGTGAAAACAAGCTTTAAATGAAAAAGAAATTTAAAAAAAATTAAAAAATATGTAAAAAGATAATGAGAACAGATAGTTTTAGGTCATCCAAATCGTGGGCTCCAGTCCTGCTCCTTTCACATTGATAATGTTTCCTCACAGTTCTGTTGTTCCATGTGCTGCTCTGGATGAACTTCTACATGAAGAGATAAAACATCCTGAACACCTACAGTCTCCAGGCTGCTTCTAATCTGCCCAACAGGTGGTCAGGAAGGTCAGGCCCCCTTGGTTGACCAGAATTATCTGTGAACACTGCAATGCCAGCCTGAGCAACCCTGCACTGGTGGGAATCAAGGCTTTCAACACTGTCATCTTTACCACGACTTGTAAGTGCTTAGTGAATAGGAATCATGATCCCATCATGGCACTGTCTGTAAAAATATGGTGTGGTTTCCATTGTAGGATTTCTCATCAAGATGTCTCGTAAAGTCTTTCAGAGCAACTCAAGGGAGGGGGTACAGTAGAACATTTATTGTCTCAAACTGGTCACATCACTTTTAATGTGATAATGCTATCCTGGCTATCACTTTGGCCTTGGAGGTACAATGCAAAGAGAAAAAGTTTGCTCTGGGGAGAAGGGGAAGTCTCAATTCTTGTTGCTGTTCTTCCACACTGCTCCCCTTGGGCCCAACAATACACATAGACAGAGTTTAGACATCCCACTCCAAGAAATTCACCCGTGTTCTGAGGTTTATGACCCCACGACAAACAGGACACTGAYGCTGTATTTGGTTTTTCATGACCCTTCCCCCATGCCACAGTCCAAGCATAAAAGAATGAGGACTTTTACCTTCCCTTCGTGCATTACTGATCACCTTTGCTGAMGATTTGCTCATTACATGGACTACATAAAGGGGGCAGTTTACAGCATTTGCTATGGTGATCGCTCTTTGTGTGGCTTCAGCTTCCACTGCTTCAGGACGACACAGCTCATGACCCTCAGGGCCAGTTATTCCCATTGCCAGCATCTTCTTTGCACCCTGGAGACCCCACAACAACATGTCAGAGTCAGGTAATGTGCGCCCATGCTGTCATTAGCATACTGTCAGTCAAAYGGATTCTTAACCAGCCACTGCAGCCAGTTCAAGAAAAAAATAASTAGGCAGCTGTGATTTCTTTTTTCYAAAATAAGTTACTGTAGTTTTATCCGAAATCAAATATATCCCTCAAAAAACTCAGGTCTCAGAATACCTAAGTAAATTCAGAGAACATACKCCACTGGTTTGCAGGATTAAATCACTGCTCTTGAAAACCCTACCCCTCTCTCAATATGTACTCTTAAATATCACGGCCAGTAACTGCAATGACACTAACTAACCCTCACTAGGAAAGGGGRAAAAAAAAAAAGAAAAATCCTTACYAAGCACAAAGATGCATATCCAGAGCCTCTGAAAACTCCAAGGTTTTAAGAGGCAAAAGGTTTTGTCCCTTCTCTGTTTCTGATTTGCTGATTTGAGTTTATTCAGCAATGAATTAATTTCCATTTTGGGACCTGGGGCAGAGTCAAAGCTCTGTTGAGTGGAAYAGTTGAAGAAACTATTCTTTACAGCCACCCAAATGATAACTGGTGTGGAGTACAACCAGTGCAGTCACAGCCTCAGGGCCTCCACACAGCACTGAGGRGGCAGTGGCAAGGGTGAAGTGAGGCTAATTATACACAGAGGGATGCTGAGTYTTTTGTCTGCACTCAGTGAAGCTTTCTCCATTTCTGGATTTGCTCCTGTTACATGAGCTGACTGTGTTTGGAGAGACCTCGGGTCAGGACCACACATATTCCTGACTTTGATGGACAAAATGTCAAATGTGCACCTGTGCAATTAGTTCCCCATTCTCCGCATGGACTTGAGCAACTGCCCCAAGTTCCTTACAGCAGGAAAAGGCTTCATAGAGCTCCTCATCATTGACCATGTAGACATCTTTATAGGCCATAAACATCTTGAAAGAGTTGACACCTTTGTTTAGAACGAGACTTTCCATTTCCTTCTTCACCTGAAAAATACAGCAATCACATTTTACATTTTAATAATTTTGTGTAAAGGAATTTTAAGTATGAAGGGTAAGCCTTTATTCACCCATCAAATACAAGTTCAGTACMAATAGCCCAAGTTGCATATTTAAAAGCTGACTTAGACAGTTCTTGTATCAGATTGATTCTCAAAGTATATAAAAGAGAAGCACTGCAGTGCAAATATTGGAAGCRCAAGCTAATTGCAGATAGGGAATGCTTTTTACAAAAGTTAATGAGGCAGAATTTTATTTCAAATAAACCTCCTGATGTTGGAAACACCCTTTCTAATATTGCAGTCAATGTATCCAACTCACCCAACATGGACATTTGTGCAAAACTGATTTTTGAAACTGAATTGCAATAGGCTGCAGCTTCTGGCAAACAACACAGCGGCAGAAGAGATTTCATCTTTTAGAGCTTTGTCCTGACTCTAAACAACACACAGAGCCTTTTGAAACATTTTGTTGTCAAACAAAACAGCTCCAAAATGCTAAGTGGAACTCTGCTCTTTTTCATTTGTTTGTTTGTTCGTTTGTTTGGGGTTTTTTTGGTATTAACTGCTTGATAGGTTCCCTTCTTCTACCAGAGCCTATGAAGCCCAGCAAAACATTACGCCCCAGAGAAAAAAGACACCTATTTTATTCTGGAGGTTTCTTACACAACTATTTAGCTACAACCATACATTACACAACTTTGGCTCTCCCTTACCAGTAAAATGATGATGACAGTAATTGACTTGTGTCTGTAACACTATTTCAATTTCCATGGGATTAATTCCTTTCAAAAGATAAAATATTGTTTCTTCATTTTCTCTCTAATAATCTGGTTGGATCTGCCCAAGGAAGGTAAGATTTGTATAAAACTCATATGGAGACATGTAATTTATCCTCTACTTCACTATTAACTATGTCTAACACAAGGCATTGTAAAGAATGCAGGGTTTTAACCAATACTTTAAATCCTGAGGAGATGAGAGCTAATCAGACGGCCATGAAATATCGGTCCTCTTCACCCAGGCCTTTTACAGCCACAAAGTGCCCAACCTTTCTATTTCTTTCAATCTTGGCCTTTAAAAACAGTTAAATTCTTCATATAAACCAGAACATTTCACCGATTTACACCTCCTTGGTTTTATTTGGCTTGTCAGTACAATTCCACTGCTTTCTACTGAGGTTGTTTTGAATCCATGTTACTCAAATGTCATTGGAGAATTTATTTTGTTGCTTTGCCTTAAGTTAGAAGTGGTGGTCAGCCTATTCTAGTACCCTGTACAGAGAATACCAAAGATGTGTAGTTTTCAGACTGAAGGCTTTGGTGCTTATATTTTAGAATTTAAAAATTAGAAGAAGTACTCATGTATAAAAAAGGAATTTACTTAAGATATCTGTGTAGTGATGCATAGTTCTCCAGGAATCCAAAGTAATTTTGTAAAACATAGGTCACATTCAGACAGATATCAAGCACCTGAAAAATTAATTTATACAGTAAAGCTTTCAGGCTATCAGCAAACATTTACCAACAAAGATGATGCTCCCACATATAAATTCAAAAAAGGKTTTTTTTAGATCATTTCACATTCAATTTACTATTGGCTCCAGTCCTGCTTTACTTAAAGGGGGTATTACTGCAGTCACCCAGGAAAAGAAATCTTCCTTTACAAATGAAGTCAATATTTTTCATGTATACACTTATTAAAAAAAATCCAAAACTCATCAGGAGCATAAAATATCAAACGGTCAAGTAACAAAAGACAAAATYATTGTAAACACCTCTTTCCCCCTCTGGCCTGCCTGGTCTTGGTTTTGTACAACCATTACCTTTAATTTTGTGTAGTATTACCCAAAGATACAGGCTATCTGCAGACTTGCTTTGCTTTTTTTCAAATACAAGTATTTTCAGAAGGGTGTAGGCTATATCAAATATTGTTTTAAATCACTGAAACACCAACCAGCAAGCTCTATTTAGCATGACAAGACTAATTCAAAGSAGGTGTGGTATCAATATATGGAACTGAAAATCAGCTCATGTGTCTACCTTGTTGCTCCACCATGTAACTGCCACGTGCAATGAATAATCACAGCAGACTTTAGGGTCTGCCCAGCTTTTCCATCTATCAAAGGCTTCAGTAAGAGARCAACCTTTCTGAGGGATGGCAAAGTCAATGATCATAGTGGTTCCTCCTGCTATAGCAGCCTGAAAAGAAGAAAGTTAATATTTAGCAATCAGAAAAAATGCAAATTTCCCCCCACCCTACTTCTCCAACTCCATTACAACAATTGATTTGGATACACTGATAAGCCAAAAACCACTGAGGAATTTCCCTGAGTAAAGTCGAAGCTTGCAAAATTATTGTGGAGATTAATTTTATCTGCTTTGAGAAAAATGTTCTCCAAAAGGTATTCAGGAGAATCCAGGTGAAATTCTCAGGCTGAAGGAGAAGCTTTTGCACATGGACAAAAACTTATCAAAGATTTGGAGATGTGCCTRTGGCGTTCATGCATCAGTGACTTTCCTTAAGTGTGAGGAAATCACTGAGAAAGAAGAGCACTAGAACATAGKCAGCTTGAGAAATGTCTCCTCAGTATCTCTGTGGTAGAAAAAATACGCCAGTGTGACAGGCAAGTGTTAAGGGCCAAACACAAAACAACAAAAAAMCCCCCTACATTGAGTTTGAAAACACAATATAAAAATCCCCAAACTTTTTTCTAACATCAGAAGATTTTAAATGTATTTGAAAGCGTATTTTTATTKGTAATAGGGCATCATTTAGTAAAACTGTATAGAGGGTTTTGAATAGAATGATGGATTTACATCCTCCACATAAATATTGTCAAGTAAGTARATAAACTAAAACCTTACTTTATAGATGTATGATGACCAAAAATTGGTTTTTAACCAATAATTTTCACTTCACTTTGGACAATTGAACTATTAATCTTTTTTCCTTTGCAGAAAAATAAGTCACTCAGATGCCAGATCCTTCATTAAAAGAAATTGATCCCATACAGAAATTCCTTTGTTGAAATTATTGCTGTCTTCCAAATTACCAAAATWAATCCTTTCTATGCTCTGAATAACATCCCTTTGCAAAACAGGTACAACCAATTCAGATCAACATATACACACACAGTTCAAATTCCTGCTACATCACTCTTTTTCTAGAACAGTCAATCTCTTCCTTTCTTTGGTTCAGTTAGAACTCAGAAGCAAAATAGTAAATAAGCCAGTATATTTTGCAAAAAAGAAGTTTGGAGAGTGACATAAATATTTGTAAGTCTCTGATGAGTTGAGCAAAACATTTTCTCCAGGAAGAGTTGTTTGAACTGTCAAATATTTTTCAACAAGAYTGACTGAATTATTTGTTAAACAGGATTTAGAACTAAATAAAATTTATAGACTTCAAGAAAAAAAAAAAAGCCATACATTCCACAGTTCCACTGAAAGTCTCTTTTTATCCCTCACATCTTTTTTCCCCCCTCTATTTGTACAGAGAGGTGCCTTTGCTTATTCAATGGAATGGGTAAATCTTAGCTAATCATTGTAGCATATTTTGCAATAGTTGAAATACAACTCTGTCTCCCTGCATTTCTTGCCAAAATAATTTTTGGATGATGACCTTCAGTGAATGGTCTGAACATTTTCCAAACTTTGACCTGGGTTAAGAATATCCACAATACCTAACTTTTTGACATCTGAYCACTAAGCTGGATCTGGAATCTTCTCGTAGGCACCAAAGTGARCTATCTGGACATCCTGTTTGGTGTACGCAGCCTCTGCTTTGCAGCTTCTCTGTCCTACAAGAACCTCAGAGTTACTAAAGAAACCTYAAAAACTTATTTTCTGCTATGTAGTATACCCCAGTTCTGCTGTGAGAGGAACTGGGTACAACAGTCTCTGTGAAGGTGCTGGCTGRCAGACAAGTCAAGTAGGGCAATGTGATCACTTCTGTGAACAAAGGATTTCACTCTGCACAACAAAGCTCTTAGAAAAGTACCTTGAAAATTTGGGGTATGGAAACTGTACGGGAATGATGCATAAATGGGTAACATGATAATTGATACRTTATTCATATGCAAGGAATATAATGAGATCAGCTAAAAAGCTAAAAAAAAACCTACTCCAAGTGTGAAATATGGAGAAACTAGGTATTTTTAGAAAGTGTATTTGAAGTGGATTTTCATTGAGAGAGAGAGTAAGCACCACAGTGAATGGTGGAAGAAAAGCCTGCATTCCCTCATGGTAACAGAGGAGAAAGATCAGATTACCACAGAAATGCTCAAAAGGCAGTGGAAAATTAAACTGTTGCTTTAGTTAACCTTTGTTCAGAAAAGTATGAAGCTTGATGCTTATACCAGAGCAGGCTGTAGTTTGCGTGCTGACAGCCAGGGTAAATGTCTGCCCCGCTTGACCCCCAAGTCACAACAGTTTCTGAAGGAACCCAAAGAACATACTGGTTGAGAGAGGACCTCTGAGTATCCCAACTGCTTTATGACAATGTCACCRTCAAAGGGAACATTTGCTGCCCATGCTTGGTTCACACTCTTTATTTTAGAAGAAACACTGAATGACCAGCAGACATCCCTCTCTGAGAAAGCCTGGGCACRTACACAGACATGCACACCCACCTTGGTTCCAGTGTAGAAGTCATCTTTTGACCTGCTGCCCATGAAAGGGAACTCCATGTGTGTGTGAGTGTCGATGCCCCCAGGGATCACCAGCTTGTCGGTCGCGTCCAGAACAACGAGTCCAGTCGAGGGCTCTGGGTTCAGCTTTGGCCCTACCTGCTGCACCACTCCATCCTCCACGTACACATCAGCCACCACAGAGAGGTCATCATTCACAATTTTTCCCCCTTTGATTAGAAGCCTCTGCCGAGCCTGSTTTTGGGGTGGCATGCCAGCAGGTGAGAGTGAGGCCTCAGCTCAGAAAGTTGCTCTTGCCTGAAARTATTTCAGTGCCTCCTCCTCGCAGAGCAGCAGCTATCTCCCAATGGCCCTAAACACACAGCACAGCAGCTCTTTAAACACATTGGAGGAACTGCCCCCTCTGCCCCTGGCAGCTCCACCTCCCCCCTCCCGGGTGGCCCAGTGACAGGGACAGGAGCAGAGCGCTGGCCTCGGGCCCTTTCTGCTCTGGACTTTGCCTGGACAAAGYGAGCCGGGCTTTCAGGGGTCTGGGTGTTCTCATGGCACTGGCTCCAGCCTGTCCTGTGCACCTGCGTGTGGAAGGCAGATTCTGACAAGAAAAAAGCCACATTTTGCATCAGCCATAATGAGAGACGCCTGCTGACACGTAGRCCAGGTTAAYGAGGATGAGCAAAGGAAGAAAGAACGTTGTAACAAGATCAGGAGGAAGAAATCCAAGAGATAAGAACTCCAAGAAACTTTTTGCTCATTATCTGCTGCCAACTTGACGTATATACTGCTAGACAACCACAAAGTAGTTTTGCTGCATGAACAGTGCATGAACAGTGCATGAACAGAGCATGTAACCAAGCATGATATATATAGTCACGTGTATGGAAGAAATTTAGTTATAAAATTGTAAGAAATTGCAATAAAATGACTACTGCTTGATTTATATTGAATTGTGCATAGTTCATTTGTTCTCTCCTCCAAGATCTGAGGTCTGGCAGCTTGCTGAGCTGCTTTGAAAATCTGGCTATTTATCACCTTGTGTTGCCCAAAAGCAAACCGAGCTCTTTTCAGCCATATTTGAGGAAACCAAGGGTGACCTGAGCAYTCCAGGGAAGAAGCTCAAGAGCCCAAGGGTGACCTGGGCTTCCTGCAGCCATGTCTGGRGAGCCTGTGGATCCAGCCCATGCAGAGGGAAAGGCAGAGCACAATGCTCTGATGGTCCAAGGGTTGCACCCTTCTCAGTGGAGATAGTGGGGTCCACACTGCTCCCAAACTATTTCTCAAAGGATTTGGAAGACACCACACTCAGGATCCAAACAGCTCCTCCCCGTGCCTGCAGCGACACAGCTTGGACAGCACCCTGGCCTGAGGGGAAAGCTGGGCTGTGTGTGAAAATCACATTTCAGTAGCTGATGACCTGCTCTATCTGTGCATGCCCAGCAGGCCTGGCCTGTGCTCCCCACACCCCCACACCACTGCCCAACACAGCCACTGCCAGCCCTGGGCTCTACTGGCTCCTCAAATCTCCCTGCCCCAGGGGCGCCATTCCCAAGGCCAGGGGAAAGTCAGGATCTTCTGTGGTTGAGTTTCACACAAGGCTGGTGTGACCGTGGCAAGACAAAGCTTGTGTGTTTCAGAATATTGACCTGGAAATAGGAGGGAAAGTAAAATGAAGAAAACTGGAAAATGAACAAAAAGCTTGGAGAAGAAGAAAACCCTGTTCTGTAGCATCTCAGAGGCATTAGTTTCTATGCAGTTTTCCCACTTGTCCCATATCCCTGGATTTGCACACTCAGCAGTGACACTGCTCAAGCGTGTCCCTAAATCTGCTGAGCACCTGCATCTTCATCCCCTCACCTCTTCCAGTTCAGTGCTGACAGATTCAGCAAGATAGAATATTGTCTCTGAGGGCTGCAAGAGGGTGCACACACAGGGTACCAAAAAGCCATTTAGACAAATGACACAAGATTTGGAAARAACTCACCTTGCCATCAGCATGTCRYCTTTGTTCCTTCCCTCATGATGGGTAGGAATGCAGTACATTTGCCCTTCTATCTGCTCAYTCCAAAGAATCTTGTCTTACACCTCACCTTTGTGCCATGGAACAGACAGCCACTGGGATTCATGACACAGAAACAGAACATGTCAAAACTCATTTGGAAAAGCAGTTTCACTTTGTATAAATGAAGTGACTTTTGTGAGGAAAGCAGGTAGCAAAGTCAGAGGTTCATTTGATCATGTGCAGTCGTGTTCATCAAGTTCATATGCCCACCACAATGGATATTTAATAATTTGATGTAGAACAGCATCAACAGATTTTTCAGTATTTACTGGCAAACAGACTTCACCCTGAAGTTTCAGCACCGCTTCAGTGCCTAAACTGCCAACCTAAAATAGTCACTTTCTTGTCATTTTTCCCTGGCTGATGATTAGTTAATATTTTCTGTGAAATGAGTTTCTACATGAGCTAGCTGCCTCTGAGTATGTGCTTGGGCTCATGGCAGTGGTAAACTGTTCCTGCTCAAATCCTTCCACCGAACGGGGCAGAGGAATTTCTGAAGGCAGACGCACTTCACAGCAGGTGATAGTGCACACCGGGATATTCAGGTTCCTTTCTGTGTGTTGCAGAGGAAAGAGCTGATACAACTTCAATACCTAAATTCATGAAGAGTAGCCCAGCTCAAAATCCTATTTATGTCTGTTTCTGAATGAGAACAGGCATGTGCTCTGTTTTCTCTCCTCTGATTTCCTACTGGCTAATTGAAACTTTGTGGATCCTACTCTTTAGAGTCTAAACCTTCCTATCCATTAGGAGTGAATCCACTTCATTACCAGCTCAGACTGCAGAGCAGTCCACAAACCAGCAACACAATGCCTTACAATGCAGTGCCTAGGAATACTGAACCCACAGGTGGTTTAGAACATACTAAACCATGTATTGGTAAACAATAAGGTTCTGTCTAAGCAGCCCTTTTATTTAATCCATTTGGACCAACAAGATAATCTAATTTCAGTGGCATTTACATATATTTGAGAAATATTTAATATTTCATAGCTCAGCTCTCCCTGGAAAAAATAACCTGAAATATCACTGGTGAAACAGAAATAATACTATGAGAAGAGTATTGGCCCTATATTCTTAGTTATCACAGAATATCAATTGCTGCTCCAACAGGAACATTGAATTCTGGTGCCTAATTGACTTTATAGTCTTTACTCACCCACAAAACATTTTACTTTTTTTCCTTCTCTTCGCACAGTTTAAAACAAATCTTTGCTCTGTAATCAGTGTTTGACTCTGAACTGTTGTAGTGGTTTGGATGGAAGAGAGTTAAATTCTCTCACAGTACCTGGTATTGTTCTGGTTTTGATCTGTGCAGAAAACAGGGTTGGTACCAGAGGAAAGTTCTCATGATTGCTGAACAGCACTTGCACTACATCAAGGGCTTTTCTGTTTCTCATCCTGCCCCGCCAGTGAGGAGGCTGAGGGGCCCAAGATGCTGGAAGGGGACACAGCCAGGACAACTGACCCCAACTGACCACAGCGATACCCCAGGCCATATGGTCTCATGCTCAGCCTGGGAAAGAGGAAGGAAGGGGAGGCACATTCGGAGTATATAAGACTTTTCTTCCCAAGTCACTTAGTGGATGGTGGAATGCTGCTTTCCTGGAGATGGCAGAACATCTCCCTGCCCCTGGGAAGTGGGGAATGAATTCTTTTGTTTTGCTTTGCTTGCAAGTGCTGCTTTTGCTTTATCTATTAAACTGTAATTATCTCAAACCCCTGAGTTTTCACACTATCACCTTTCCAATTCAATTGGGTGAGTGGCTGTGCAGTGATCAGATGCCAGCTGGGCTTAAACCACACCTGTGCAGAGAAGCTTCCTGTTAGGAAACATTTACTCTTCCTAAAAGGCTACATGGTAGCTCAATGATTTGAGAGCCATTGCAGAAAGTCTCCCCAAACTCACAAAAATGAATTTGAATTATATGGTAATGCTTTTGTTTCTCTAGCAAAGCAAATAATCCTAGAGAACTAAATATGGACTGTCTTGTTTAGTGYAGCTATCACAGAAGTACAATCATAAGACTTTTTCGTCACCTAATGATTAAGTGATTACATTTGAACAACCCTGAAGAACACAATCCACATCTATGATTTACCAAATGAAAATAATTTATTTAATTTAGGAAAAAAGTTTGCAAGAAACAGATGATTGAAATTTGGAACATCTTGTCCTTGAGGACATCTTCTAAGTCATTATAATGCAGACACAATCAGCTTAAAGTCTCTGAGACACACATTCTCACCACTTCATCCTGGAACATTTAAATGTTACCTCCCCATATAAAATGCTATTAATTTTTAACTTCTCCTTTAACTATCCCACCTTATTCKCTCTTTGCTTCCATTTTCACATTCTTCCTACCATATCCTGTTTCTGTAAAGCTCTTCTATTATCACTGTCTTCAGCTTTTTCTTAAACCAAGGACTCTYATTGGCATTAACCCTCAAAGTTGGTGAAGCTGAAATGTATCTCAAAATGCAGGGGAGGCAAATAGGCTTTTGAACAAACAATAAAGACATTTTATAAAGGAAATGAGAGTTTGATAATGAGCAGTGGGAAGAAAGCTCRGCTAATGAAGGTGAGCTATTAATATTATTTATTTTGACAACTTTCCTCCAAGGCAGAAAGACTGGTTCATGAACCACATTTACAATGTGACAAAATTAACAAAAAGGATACCAACAACTTTCAGTAATGATGGATAAAGCACTATGTTTTGGAGAATTGGTACAAAGATGTGAACTCTGGATTTGCAGAGAGAAAAGAATGGTTATCTTTTCCTATACTCAGAAAGTCAGAAGGACTTTGTATACTCAGAAGGCATTTCTTTGCAACTCCTATAAAGAATCCATAATGCCCATTCACCTGGTATTTACTTTCACACTCCTCTGCGGTGGGAATTTAATACTCATTCAATAAAATTGGATGGTCTAAACATAATTGCAYCTGTAAAGTCTTCATAAAATTGTGAGACCAGTCACAGGCCTCTTGTCAAAACCCCACCAGTTTTCAGAACAGTTTGGTGCTGACTGCTTTGAAGAGATGGACTTTCAGACACAAGTGGTGATGTTTCAAAATCTAAACTCTAAAGCCTTCTCCAGTTGCAAAAGATTTCCAAAACTAGCAAGCATGCTCCACGGTTTTCTATAAAATAAGGYTAAAAAACATTAAGAAAGATCAATCCTCTAGCTCCACATCACCTGAACTATTATAGATATGCTCTCTTAAATAGTGGGTTACATCCAAGTGCCAGTCTTTGCCTGAACACATCAGCAGTGACACAGACCATTAGCACCCCGCCTTGGGTCTCACATGTGTGACA